AGACACAAAGCCATGGGGTGCCTCTGAGTTGAGTTCAGTCTCCTGCCTTGGCTGTAGGGTCAACATCCCCTTGAGATGGCTACAGCCCAGGTCTCACCTCCAGGCTAGCCAGGCATCAGGCTATAAAAAACATCAGAGGGTGGAGGAAAGGGATCCCTCCAAGGCATCCATGGGGCTCTCACTGGGAAATAAAGACCCAAACTAGACACCACTGCTGAGCAGCAGACGTGGGAGTCCCACCACAGCCATTCCTTGTCATATCGCTACTTGAGCAGGGACCCATGCATGCCGGAGAGGGTAAAGGGGGTCAGTTCCAGGTCCCTTTTTGTCCCTTCAGGAAGCACTGGACTTGGGCTGGCAGCTGGGCAGCTTTCAATGCACTCCAGCCCTCCGCTCCCTCTGCAGAGCACTGGGCTCCTGTGACTCCCATTTCTCCTCACCAAAAGGTCTCCAACGTTAGTCCCCGGCTCACAGCCCTCTCTGGCTGGCTGGCAGATTGCAAGAAGCAGAGAAATAAGGCGCTTACAGAGGCTGAAGCTGTTGACCGTACGATTAGGCTGAGCCACTGCAAACACCCATTGCACCGTGAGTCCCAGGGACTGGACACCCCGTGCTGTTTTTCTGACTGAATCCTTGCTGCTTTGTCCCATCTGTTTGTTATTTTAGGTTTGCCCAGGTAGCTGTGCCTCTCATATTTGTTATTGCAGAGGCAATGAGCTGTGCCCCTCTTGTGTTATTGTAGGGTTGCCTGTGCCGGTGTGAATCCTCCCCTCCCCTAATTACCACAGGGCAGCCCAGGCAGATGCCCTGGCTCTGCTGTGTCCGGCCCTGGCAGCCGGTGCCAGCGGGGATTCCTGGGACAGATCACAGCGTGTTTCATTGCCATGGAAGGGCTTAGTCACTGCGGATCTCTCCAGTCTCCTTTCAGACCTCGGACTGCTGCAACATCTTTGTGTTAAAGGATGCTCTTCTACTGCACCTTGTACAGTGTAATTTCCTGCAGGACAAGATCATTCCCGATTTAATCAATTTTTTCCCTATCTCGTATCTGTCATCCCCTTATAATAGAGGAGCCCCAACCTGTGGGGGCCTTTGAGTCCTGCAGCAAGAAAAAAAACCCCAAAGAGATGAGCGTCATGGGGCTAAATGGCAGGAGAATCCCATCCCGGGGATACGTGCAAGTCCCGGGGATGGTGCATGGGGTTATTTTCGTTGCTGTGGGCAGTTAGGAGGGTGTTGAGTCTGGGATGCTGACCCAGCTCTGCTCTTGTGGAAAGAGAAAAAAAAAGGCTGCTTTAATAAAGTAAATGACCATGGAAAACTTTCCAGTTTTGCTGGGAAAGGGCAGGTCCACCTTGGCAAGGAGGGAGGGGAGACTGGCAGCCGTGGCAGGCTTGGGGGTGCGGCAAGCAGCCTGTCCCCTCAGCCACCTCCAAGGCCACCCAGCTGGGGGGGTGACAGGCCAGTGGTGCCTGTCCCCCTTGCCAGGTGTCCCCCAGGCAGCCCTGAGCAGCCTGGTGGGGCAGAGCCATCGTCTCTCTCCCGGGCGTGTGTCTGGGCTCCAGGGAGCAGCCAGTCTTCAGGGAGACTCCTGTTTGCTTTGTTGGGGGGGGGGGGGGAGGAGTGTTGTCCACTTTTATTTTCACCCTGAGCCTTTTTCTTTTGTCCCAACAGTGATACTGGAAGGAAGGGCAAAATTGGTTCCCTGCTGTCTTAACCATAGGGTTGCAGGAGAGGATGAGCCAGGTTCGCTGGCATCAAAGTGACAGGAGACACCGTGCAGGGAGGGATTTCAGCCGCTCTGATGCTTTTCCTCCCGTTGCAGTGGGTTTCCCCGTGCCTGCCCGCTGGTCCCAGCACAAACCTGGCATCAGCGCAGAGCTTCTGGGAACGAGGGACTGGGAGAACAGGAGCTTCAAGAGCCTTAAACTCTATTCAAATTTAATCCAGAAATAACCCTTTTTCACTCTGGTGGCTGTACTAAATGTCACAAGTCATCTAAGTTTAGACTGTCACCAGCTCTCTCCTATATATAACCGTGCAGGGCTCCTGACTGCATCCTGCTGGCACAGGTCATGCTGGGGCGATCCAGGGGGGTGCATAGGAAGGTGGCTGCCATGGGCAGACCCTAAATGTGCTCCTCCCTTGCTGTTGGTACCATGGGTGGCAGCTATGGCTGGGCAGCACCGCTCAGCAGCGTTACCCTGGGCTTTGCCAGCTGCTCGGTGGGTGCCAGCAGATGAGGGCTGGTTCAGTCCCATGAGCATGGGGCTGCAGACTGAGGACCCTGGACATCCCAGCACTTGTCAGCCACATCTTCGGCATCACTGCCGAAGCATCTGCCCAGTCACGTAGTGACTTTGCTGTGGGATTGACCTTGACTTTGGAGTTGTCTCATCTTCAAGCATCCCTGGCTTTTGCACTTGCATCTGCAAGGCAGGGTGGGGCGTGAGCTTGTCACTTAATCCTCTCACCATGGCTAAAGAGAGGCTTCTCTGCCATATTTTGTGTGTCCTCTGTTCCTTTCTGGGTTTGGAATAATCTTCCCAGCAGTCCTTCTCCACTGACACACTGCAAATGATGGTGGCCTTGTGTGTAGGAGCCCATCATGACACCCATCTCCTCTGTGCCCTCAGACACCTTTCTGTCCTGAGCTCGGGGGTCACACGAAAGCCACACCAAGTCCCACACAGTGGGATAAAGCCAGGGCTGTAGGCAGCAGCGGGGAAAAGGATTCCTTTGGTCATCTGTTCCCATCCTGCCTGCTGCAAAGATGTCCTCTGGGGTCGGACAGGAGGCTCTCTGTGCAAAAGCAAGCCCCAGTCAGCTCATGGAGACCTGATGGTTTGGTACCCGTTCCCTTCCAGAACGGGAATCCCGAGAGCATGAGGAGCCGACGACGTCGGAGATGACAGAGGAGACCTACCCACCCAAGGCCTACCGGCCCAAGCACGGGCGCCTCTCCGAGCTCAAGGCTGAGGCCCTGAAGAAGGACCGCCGGAAGAAGCTGACCCTGGCCAAGTTCGTGGGCATGGCGGAGAACACGGCGCACCCCCGCGTTGTCATCCCTGAGCTGCGGCAAGAGTTTGAGCTGGTGGGTGCCTTCGCCTTCCCTCTGCAGAGCTCATGTGGGCAGGGGGCTGTGGGAGGGCTATGTCCCCCTGGGAAGCAGGTGCCGGTGGGGGGGACAGGGGCCCTGGGGGCATTTGCAGCTGGAGACTTGCTGCAGAGTGCTCCCCTTCTCATGCTCCATCTTCTCCCTGCTTGCAGGGCCCCTGCCGCAGGCACATGGAGGCATCCCTGCAGGAGCTCAAGAGCAGCCAGCGGATGGTCCCCCGCGCCGTCCACCTCCCCAACTGCGACCGAAAAGGCTTCTACAAGAGGAAGCAGGTAAGAAAGAGCCCCATGGAGAGATGCTTCCTACCCAGGGAGGGTCCGCTGCCTTGGGTGGAAAGGATGGAGGTTTCTCCTCTGCTGGGCTGGTGGGGAGGTTGCTGTGAGTGTCTCCAGGCACAGTTGGTGGTGGGTGGCCTTGCTGATGGCTCCAAGTGCTGTCCAGCCTGAGGCGAGCATCCTGAAGGAGCTGGTGTGGGAGGAGGAAAAGTCAGAGAGCCTCGGGCTGGGATAGCAGCAGGGTTGGAGATGTGCAGAAAGCAGGGAGCAGGAGCTAGGTGCTACCCAGGGGGTTGCATTGCCGGGTTGAAAGGGGCAAAGCACAGGGCTAATCCTGATCCCCAGCACGAGGGAGCCATGTGGCATCTGGTGGCCAGCTCCTGATCTCTGCCCTTGGGTGTCTCTCCAGTGCAAGCCCTCCCGAGGCCGGAAGCGTGGGCTGTGTTGGTGCGTGGACAAATACGGCATGAAGCTGCCAGGGACTGACTACCTGAGCGGAGACCTGCAGTGCCACGCGTTCGACAGCAGCAACGTGGAGTGAAGCCGCATTCCCCTCCCTCCGCCCCATCACTACCTACCCAGGCTCCCTTCCACCCTCCCCTCTGCACCTCCCTGCGCCCCGGGACTCCGATTCCTTTCATCTCATGTAAGAAGAAAAAAAGAAAGGAAAAGAAAAAAGAGAAAGGAAGGAAAAGAAAAAAGAGAAAGGAAGGAAAAGGAAAAAAAAGAAAGGGAAAGAAAGAAGTAAAGGAAGGAAAAGAGAAAGAAAAAAGGAAAAGAAAAGAAAAAAGAAAAGGAAAGAAAAAAGGAAAAGAAAAAAGAAAAGAAAAGAAAAAAGAAAAGAAAAGAAAAGAAAAGAAAAGAAAAGAAAAGAAAAGAAAAGAAAAGAAAAGAAAAGAAAAGAAAAGAAAAGAAAAGAGACAAGAAAAGAAAAAAGAGACAAGAAAAGAAAAAAGAGATAAGAGAAAAGAGAAAAACAAACCCTGAAGAAACTGAGGACTCGGAATCTACAGCAGCCTCTTGATGACAACAAGGACTCAGCAAGGAAAGGACAGAGCCAGAGACAAACCAGACGCGGCTGCTCCTCCATCCCGTGCCTCTCCCAAATGCCACCCATGACCCCTGCCGCGAGCAGAGGCCACTCCGATGTAGGAAGGTCTCCAAGTTGGTGATTTTCCAGTATGGGTTTCAGGCAGGTTCAATTTTTTTTTTGGGGGTGGTGGTGGTGGTGGTGGTGTTAGCCAGTCATTTTCTACAGGGTCTCAAGAGAAGACCTTGCAGCCACCAGTGTCCCCCTCCTCGCTGCAGTCCTCTGGAGTCTCCTCCCCACATTGCTGGGACTCACTCAAGTTGATTTGATTTGACTTCAGCCTCAAATGACCACCCCGGAACCCAGCAGATTTTGACACATCAGGAGGAGGAGTGGGGACTGCTGGCTTTGTGTCTGGAGATGAGCCGGGGAGGGAAACACAGCTCCTGCAACGGCATGAATACCCCCCACAAAAATATTCGTGCACTTCGAAAAGAAATCATCCAAAAAGGAAAGCTATCCTTCTCCATCCAGTTCCTCTCAAATGGGAGGTCAGAAATCTTTTTTGGACAAGCGGGACTCTGACCGTTGTCCATCCAGGTGTGGAAGCGTTTGTCGCCTGAGTGCGTGAGTTGTGAGCATGCGTGTGCACAGATGCAGCTTTTCCCCCTTGCAAAACTTCGCCTCAAAACCTGCAATCTGGAGGGCTTAACTGTAAGCAGGGGGAGAGGTGCTGCCCCCTCCCAAAAAATAATAATAACCTGCCGGACTAAGCACGGGAGCAGACTTACAGAGGAGCATCGGTGCCTGTGGGATCAGGGTCCCGCCGACGCCGAGGGCTGCATCCGAGCCGACCCCACAGATACTCCATCACTGTCCAGACTGAAGCATCCCTACGTGGGGACAGGGGGATCGGGGCCAAAACTCTTCACCACCCTTTGCTGCCATGAGGAAGAACAACTATGGAGATTTTTATTTTATTTTACTTTTTTTTTTTTTTCACAGCCAAAAATGTGGTTTGCTCCAAGGGAAAAAAAAAACAAACCTACACTTTGTTTTGTCATGGATTTTTTGTTAAGGCTGGTTTATAGCCTTCCCCGTGGGTAGGAAAATGCCGGTCTCCATCCTTTCACATTGAGGATACTGCTCACGTTGCCACAGCTGATTCCCGCCACCCTGCAGTAAGATCCTGCCACGGGCCCTCCCTTTACCCTGGGATCCAGCTCCTTACTGAGTGACAGCAGCCACCACGCCGCGGACACCCACTGACTCAGGCGTGCTGAGAGCTGCCTTCCTGACTTCTTTGTTCATTTTAATTTTTCCATTCGATTTTTGGGACTGTTGCCTCTCGTTTCCCCGTGACAAGGGTCTCCAGGATGTTGGTGCTCGAAGGAGAACCTGCAGTGAAGGGAAGGAAAGAAAGGAAAGCAAGCCATGGGGTCTGGGTCCTGCGGTCCCAATGGGCAAACACACACCCACCAGGGACCACATCCCACCACCATGGCTGGAGCTGGCAGCTGGCACTGCCCAAAGGACATGGCTGATCTCAGGGGGAAGGTTTCTGCACCCCCAAAGCCCCTTTGAGCATGCCGGAGCTGGGCAGGGAGGAAAGGGGGTCCGCAGTGCCACCAGCTCCCCGCCAGCAGGGATGGGACAAAGGGGATTCAACACTGAGGGGCTCCAGCAGACGTGCCTCTCCATCATGGCTTGGGCACCCTCATAGCCTCCCACGGCGTGGCATCGCTCCCCTGAGCACCCCACAGACCCCCCCACTGGGACACTTGCCTCGATCGAGAGCAGGACTGGACACCCTGCAGATATTTCCCCCAGAGTTATGGTGGGGGTGAGTTTCCCTGATGGACTTCCACGGAGACCCAGTGGGGCTTGTTTGGAGCTGGGGGCGAGGTGTTTTCCCTTGCCGAAAAGAAGGAGGTGCTACAAAATGCAGACCTGTCCCCCCAAAAAACCCACAGGAATGGGGTGACCCCGACATTGCTGGAGGGGAGCATGGTGGGTACTGAGGCCAAGGGAGGCACCCCTCCGGGCTCTGCAGGGCTGATGGAGCAGGGTCGGTTTGACAAGGGTGGGGGGTTAATGGTGCGGGGAAGTTGGGGTGAAGAATGGGGTAAAGAAGGCAGGTGGAGGAGGAGGAGGAGCCTGTGCCAATCCCAGGGGCCACAGGTCGCCATTGTCGCCACTGTCTCCCATCTCCGCTTGTCCATCCCCATGCAAAACCTCCTGACTGTTACAGGCCAGTACCGCCTTCCCTAGGGCCCTTCCCTCCTTCTCTCTCCGTCTTTCTTGCTTTTTTGTTTGTTTGTTTGTTTGTTTTGTTGTTTGATTTCCCAAAACTTGAAAGCCTTTGGCTGCAGAGAAAGAAGACGTGCCGCCGGGGCGGGATGCAGGATGGGAGCAGGCAGAGCAGCAGCTCCCCATGGACCTTGTCTTTCAGGGCTGATGCTTTTGCAGGGCGAGGGTCAGCTCACAAGGTGTCAGCCTCATGATGTGGCCACCACGGTGACACTGGGAGGGAGACACAGGGTGCCTCCCCGACCTCCCCCCTACAAAGTGAGTCTCAGCCATAGGCCCGGGAGCCCTGAGCACCAAAATCGATCCCGCATAGCCTCCCTCCCCCCTGCACATCCAGCACTGGGACTGCAATGTCCCCACCAACCTGGGGGTAGGAGGATGTGAGGAGGGGACTGCAACACCCTCACCCCCCAAAGCCACCTTGGCTCCTGGGACAGGGCACCAAGTGACCCCCTGGCCACCCGCTCCCTCGAGGATCCCGGCAGGACGAGGCTGTTTGCAGGCTGCACTAATATTTAGGACCGGGGTTGGACTGGGGGTGAGAGCGGCTTCAGGAGGGGTGGCCACCCCCTGGGGTGGCAGTGACGAGGTGCTCCTGTCCTCAGCACCCAGCAGCACCCCTTTGCATTTGGGGTGCGAAAACCAAAAGGGGCAGATTTAGGAGCTGGGGAGGGTGGTGGGGGGTTGAGGCACACAGGGAGATGCTGGCAATTCGTGCATCAGGGGGAGGTGCGAGGCTCGGGAGTCTCCGGCCGCGGTGTTTGCACCGAGCCTGCGCTGGTACCCGGGATGCTGGCTGGGAAGAAGGCAAGGATGGCGCAGGGGTCAGGACAGCCCTTCCACCACATCTCCCCGGGGAGCGGCGCTCAGCGGCTGGGCTACCCCTTGTCTGTACTGCAGTGGACTTCGAAAACCACTAGTACAAGAGCATTTTGCACTATTTCTCTGCTCTCTCCCTCCCCCTTCACTTTTTCTCCCCCTTCCCCATGAAAACTTTCTTTTTGTTTTGGGGTTTTTTTTTGTTGTTGTTTGTTGTTGTTGTTGATTTTTTTTTCCCGAACGGAGCATTGTATATTTAAGGACCGACAGTTCACCTCGCTTCCAGACCGCTGTCCTGGCCCTGGCTAGGAGCCCTGCCTACTGTGCCCCCCCTCCCCAGCCCCACCAGCCTTTCAGCCCCCGCCACTGCCACCGGGACAGACGTCACCGCGCACGTTACCCACCGTTGTAACACAGTTGTTAAACACACCAGATTCCGAGTTTCCTGCCTGGTTTTTATCTTTAAGCAATACTCACTACACATTTTACGGTAGCTTTTTATAGCTTTACATACATACGGTAGCTCTGTTGTTTCGTTTTGTTTTGGTTTTGTTGTTTTTTTTTTTTCCAGTAAACAAGAAATACTCATAATCTTACTGGTGGGAAAAAAAAAAGCAGTTTGTGAAAAACTGACAATGGAAGAAGAGCTTAATGCTCTGTTTAGCATTTTGTACTTAAAAAAAAAAAAATCTCACATTTTATTAAAAAGTGAAGATTGCTGTATACTATTTATTCAACTTATAATTTATGTTACTCTTTGATCTTTGTCTTTTCTCATGACAAAGCATTTATTTAATAAAGTTATGCATTCAGTTAGCTTGTGCCTGACCCTCGTGCAGCGTCCGTGTGCCGGGGCCTGCCAGCCTGCTGCTCCGGCCCCGAGCATCCCCCGGCTGGCCATGCAGGGTGGCAATGGTTTAGGAGAGCTTTTGATACCAAAACAATCTGCTAAAAGTCAGTAGTAAAACTGCAAGTTTGAGTTTAGAGCGTCCTTAAAGCAGAGCTGCCCTATTTTATTTTTTTAGCGATTTGTTTGCATGAATGTGGCAGCGGGGCACAGCACCCGCATTCAGCTGGGTTACGGGGGGAGAGAGCCTGGCTGCTGGTGATGCTGAGCCCCCAGCTGCTGTCCCAAAGTGAGCCCCCCCCCCAGTTGGGGATCTGATGTGATATTTGAGCCTCAGAACTCTGGGCTCAACTTGGCAAGATTTGCCCCAGGGTCCCAGGGTGCAGGAGCATCCCCGTGCCATCCCTGTGGCAGCCCAGCCCAGCCAGGCTGTGGTCCTCAGACACCTCGCGGTAGCCCTCAGTGGCCCTTCCCACTCACCAATGTCCTCCCCAGTGTCAGATCTGACCCCCCCGTCTCCACCCGCACAGCCATC